ATGTACGGTGTTTTTTCCATATACTGAAATACTCCATTTTTTGTTTTGTTATGACAAAGTGCACGTGAGGTAATGTTTTATCCCTACTTGACCATTTGCTTAGGTGTTTGGTAGTTCGTGAGATATTAATGAAGATCATAAATTACTGGTTCGTCAAATATTTATGGTAGCCAAGATAAAACTAGTCTATAAACATTATATTTAATAACATTATGATTCTACATATACTATCCTGTATGCATAGCAAAATTGAAAAAATTATTTATTGTTCCAAAACTCTTAGATCGTAGAAAACTCATATTTCGTAAACTCCTCTGCATTAAAATTTTTTTCGATCCTCTAGCTATCAATCCCGAATGAATTCGATGCCCAACGCACCACGTAGTTGCTTTATTACTATCATTTCACAATTTCAAGGAACGTCGTCTCCTTTTCGATTGATCCACACTTCTCTCCCCCCCTTTTCTTTCCAGTTCCCTATAATTCCCTCCCACCCTTCTCTGGCATTCTCCCGTTGCCTTGTCCACCGTAATACCAAGGCTGAAATTACACATCTGTGCGTTTTCCTATAGGCACACACGGATGCAGATGAGCACACGCGGATAGGTAAATAAACACATATATGAAGGCCAGCGCACATGTACCTATTCACGTGAACAAATATATGTGGGCACGTATACATGCTTAATCACCTGTATGTACAATATTACAGGAACGCGTTCGCGTGGAATCGCGTGGGTGTGCGTGCACGCAGTGACACGCGCTCGGGGTTCGACGTAATGATAGAACGGATTTCGAGATAAATTTATGAAAGACACGATGCACGGAAACGCATCGTGTAGTTAAATATTTGACAGCTCCCGTCGAGCGCGGCTCGCCCGTGTATTTTATCGTCCGATAGATCTGCGCGGAATCGAATTCGACGCGGGATAAACGCGATAACAATCTCCCCGTTAGAGATAACAATTTCTGCCAAGTTTTGTAAAATTTCAAACGCACCGTGTAGCTCTGGGCTCATTGAATCGACTATGACAAACTGCACCGTAGTGCCCAAATCTCTTTCATTGGCTCCAGGTATCGATACGTGAAAGTGTCATTTTGTGTTTTTCAATTGGGGGAAAAAATGATCAAAGTAAACATCAGAATTTAATCTCCTATAAATGTCGACAAATTTAAAATAAAAAAATAAATATTCGTCGCATATACAAATGGATAGTGATTCAAAATATGATTGTTAAAGTTGCAAAAAAATGAAAATAACATTCGTTTACTGCCAGCTGAGAGATCTGAACTCCATTGAGCATCTGTTCGGAGGAACAATAATTATCTCAAAGAGCGTTGTTAAAAACGTGGTTTGAAACAAACTGAAATAGAATTGATAAATTAACAGAAAGTATGCCAAATGGACTTCGAGAGATCATAAATAGTCGAGTACTTTTTATATATGACTAACAATTTTAAATTTTGTTAAAACTTTCGACTTAGTTGCGAGAAACTACATTTTTGGTGCTTGTCAACACTTGACAAGGTGACTATACATGCCTGCCTTTCAATACGATGGATTTCAAAGAAACTTTATCGTTAAATTTTGTATTGCTATCAATATCGAAAGTGCATGAAATCAGTTCGACCAGCATTTTTCGAACTCGCCAACTTGCGAGCTGGTAACAGTATAATGCCGCGCCGTCACGGAGGAGCGTTCAACGGAAAGGTTCGAACCGTGACGCGAAGAAATCTGTGGACAAAGAGATGGGCAGAACCGGAGGGGCCGGTCGAAGGGAGAAGGAAAGAGGAAGAGAATCCTCGTTAATTATAGTCCCCTTGCATCGCCACGAAGAGCAGCAGGACGAAGGAGGAGCACGCTGACCGCATGGTAATAACGTGCTCGGTCAGTTCTCCGTTCAAAGTGACGCAGCTTACGGAAGTGACGACGGAGGAGCCACGGTTTCTTGCATGTAATTACCCGGGTCGCTTTCTTTCGGCGATCGGTGGCGCGTAACAAACCGGCGCAGGAAGTTTTCAGCTTTGCTTTTTGAACGTTTACCGCCTCCCGGTCGGACTGGATCCGTTTTAATTGAGTTCTCCTTTGAGACCCCATTCGCGAAACGTTGCTACGTTCGTGACTTTCGAGAGAGTTTCCGCCGCCGTGACGAAATTCCCTGTTTCTTCGAGTTCCTGGTCTAGCAATCGAAGTGCTACGAGCAGACGGTGTTTGCATCCCGGCTGTCTAGATCTATTAACTCCGAAGAATATACGACCTCCGCGGTCGATCCCATTTCCTCCTTCTGATGCAATTATTACAGGTGATTTTACGAGTAACGAACGATGCACCTGACGTATTATATTATTCCTCTCTCGATTCTAGCCACCATTCGTTCCTAGCTCCAAGAGTAATTTTCTTTTAGCGAAAAAGAAGAACCTTGACTTCTTAAAGGGGTAGTTTCGTTCTGTAAAATACTTTTCAGTAACGACAAAAAAGTGTAGCTAAGATTACATGGTCTAACGATGCACCTGAGATATGATATTCTTCTTATGATTCTAGCTACCATTCTAGTGTTCGTTCCTTGTAAAAGTAATTTTCTTTCCGTGGAAAAGAGAAACCTTGACTTCTTAAAGGGATAGTTTCATTCTTTTGGAGTATTTCTCAGCAATAACAAAAAAATGTATCTAAGATTACATAGTCTAACGATGCACCTGACGTATCATATTATTCCTCCCTTCATTCTAGCTACCATTTTAGCGTTCGTAGCTCCAAGACTAATTTTCATTTCGCGAAAAAGAGAAACCTTAACTTCTTGATTCTAGCTACCATTCTAACGTTCGCTCCTCGCAAAAGTAATTTTCTTTCCGTGAAAAAGAGAAACCTTGACTTCTTAAATGGATGGTTTCACCCTCTTAAAATATTTTCCAGCACCAGAAAAAAAATGTATCTAATATTACATGGTCTAACACGATATATCTGACGTATCATATTATTCCTACCATTCTAGCGTTCGTTCCTCCACGAGTAATTTTCTTTTCTCGTTCTGTAAAATATTTTTCAGCGTCAGAAAAAAGAAGTGGTATTCTCGTAATTTTAATAGACCTATAATCGAGTCACAACTTGCGAACGAATTTACGCGTTCGGTTAAATCTTCGAAACTCTCCGTCTACCAACGAAGTATGCGAAACTTAACGTAAGCCAGGGCACACAGATACCAAAGAGCGATTATCCCGCGATCGATCGAAGAAAGCACATCAGGAGAGTAGTTCGTCGCCGTCGAACATGCATCTTCCGGTTCCTGCACAGGTGGGCTCCCCGTTCGTCTGGTTCCACGCGCGGTTCGCGGTACAAGCCGAACAGGCTCCCTTAATTCAGCCCCGTAATTAATTATGCATTGTTGTTTCCCGCGATAAGGGAGGCAGGGAACACGTCGGGGAATTTGTCCCGACCGCCTTCCAAGATATGCCTCCGTCGTTCCAACCGACAGACGGGATGGTATAATCGCGTGACTAACGGTTAAGTAAATCGAGAAGAAAGGACGCTCGGCGCGAAAACGCGACGCTCGACGACAGACGCGCCCCGTTCCCGTTTATTAATGGCGGCGTCGGTATTGATAATTCGCACGTGCGTTACCTTAATTGCGGAAAGAGTGATAAATGTTGATCGCGTTTGAACGGGAAGGGTGGCCGCGGCAGCGAACGTCGCGACCATTACGCGAACCATTACGCGATCTCATGATTCATGACGCGCGCCACTGGAACGCGGACCCAGCGTTCAGTTTTTGAAATCGTTTAAGAGCAGCGCAAAGTTCATTCATGTTACTAGTTTATTGGAACCGAAGAAATCCATTTTTCTATCGATTATTTTGTCCCCTGCTTGTTCTAACTATTTTTTACAGGGTTGATTAGCTTCGATAGATGGAAAGAATAACAGAAACATAATATGCTGTAAAATATCAAAGGAAAAGCTATATCTTAATTAAAATTTGATTTGAAGTCAGACATAGATTTTAGTTAGATTTTTCAAGAAATTAATTTCAGATTCATTTTTCGAATAGAATAGGTAAAATAGATAGATTATTCGTGATATTTAAATAGGCATGTCGACTTATTTTTGATTTTCTATTAAAATAAAATTCTTCACATTATTTGTTAACATTTTCTCGTACTATATTTCCGTGACTGATCCAGTCGAACCAAAGGCGCAAGCGAAGGCATCGCCGGATTTATGTCACTCAGTTTTATTTATCGATCCTCCCGATTCTAATATTACGTACGACATAAATTTTAACGAAACAGATTAAGTGACGTTTCCTTGTCGCGAAACGTTATCGACTAAACGGGAACTGCAATTATAGGATACCTGTTAAAAGTCGCGAAGAGCCATTTGTATCGTTCGCGAACTTTGCAAGATCCGTGTAAAAAGCAGGGTTCGATCAAAACTGCGACAGATGTTTCGCTGATACGTTCGACCCTTCACTCTCGTAATATTAAATTGTTCAAGAACCGTCGTCGAATATTTAACCTTTGGTTCTCACTGAGCTCTGGATACAATTACTTAATCGCCCGTATGACAATTAATTATGATCCGCCCGTAGAGTGACTAACGTCCTTTCGAAACTTCAATTTTCGTAATTTTCAAATTTAATAAACGATATGGTCGAGCACTCCATCGAGCGTGTAGCTGATTTATTCTGAATAACGTCATATAAGTACAATCCCATTTCAAAAGCTAATGTTGTATGAACTTTCGACGTCAAGAGTGCTTGGAACCAATAACCATGTATGAAATTAATAATATCGTATTATCTCAGGAAGCTCATTGATATCGCGATCAATCATTCGCATCAAAACTCTCCCAGAATCCTTTTAGACGGATATAAATCGAAACGTAAGGTCACGATTGATCTTGTATTTCCATTAAAGCTTTCCTGCGATATCGTTCGATCAGAACGAACTCCTCTGGCGATTTGATCGGTAACTAAGCGAGATAGAGGGAACCATGACTGGTCACTTACCCGTGTGCGTCCTCTGATGGGCCTTCAGATGCGAGCTCTTGGTGTACACCTTCTTGCATCCCGGAAATTGGCATTTGTGTATCCTGCGCTTCGTGTCAGGCGGGCTGTGCTCGTGGCTCCTCGCGTGGTGCCTGTTAGCTACGGTGCTTGCAGCTGCAGTGGCCCCTGCATGTGCGTGTTGCGTGCCTGCAACCGCGGGGTAGCCGTTCGCTGTGACGGAGATCAGTCTGCAAAAACACGGAACTACATCGTTCGGTGTTCTCCTAGCAGTTCTCCTAATTAACCGGGGAATGCTCCGTTAGGATAAACCGGACGTCTAATTTGTTTGCGGTTTTACCGCGTAATGGGCCACCACTCTGAACGTCAATTTTCTCTTCATCGGTCAATTACGGTGCCTTAAAGATGCTTGCGAGAGAGCAAAATTGTTTTCGAGCCCAACGGTGACTATATATACCACGGTATTCGAAATTATCATCGCCTAGATTTTTAAATCTGTTAATATCCATTTGCTCCTTTCAGTTTTTTAGGAATCACTGCTTTTTAAATGTTTTTGGGAGGTTTTCTTCAATAAACGATACAAACAATGTAGGAAGAGATGCTTAAGTTATCTGTATTTTTCTTTGTGTTCCCTTGGGGTTTTAAAGGATTATAGTTGCGACCCCCATTTCAACTCACAGTTTTTACTTGTGATTGCTGTTGATTACTTGTTGTGTAATACGAACGAGAATGCGGGCAAACATTCTTTCCCTGCGACTTTTTAATAATTTGGGGATGAAAGGGTTAACTGAAACTCGTTCGCGTGCAGCTTAAGAGGAAGTGGTTGCAGTGAGCTCTCAGGTATAATTGCATCGCAGTTTAAAAGACTCTATCTGAATGCTATTGACGCTATAAATATTCCGAGCATCTAAAGAAACTGAAGGAAAAAATTTTTATTCAGGTCTATTCACTCTCGTGACTTCTTTAAGAATAGAACTTTTCGTGAGAGGGGCCGTATAATAAAAATTCTGGGCTTTGCAGGTCAAGAGGCAATATCTAGAAAATTATATACATACGTGCTTATACAGGGTGAATCGCGAAAATTATTCACCCTATTTATTTTTGGATAAAAATTTTGTTAACATGGATAATCGTTCAAAGTGGTGACATTAGTTTTCGTGAATTTCTTTGTAAATTTCTAGGGTAACTTTCAATTTCTTTACTCTTTATTTCGATTTATTATCGATCTCATCTCACTCCACTGTATTCCCTTTTCACATCAATTGTTTTATATATATTACTTCAAATAAGGAATTTCTAGAAACTTAATTGCAGTGTTTGTAGTGGTAGGACGATTTAAAAAACATATCAAATATTAACTCATAATTAATTATAATATTAATTATGTAGAATGTGGACTTTATAACGTGTCCACATTATGTTACCCCCTTTCAATTGGTCGTTTTGTTCATTAAACACAATTTGCTTCTACGGCGACATTATTATTCGTTTCAGTTATGGGATGAATATTCTATGTACAATGACGGTATATAATAAACAATTGTTTGCATCAGGTGTGCTGCTTTGATTACGTTTGGACAATAAACACTTTCGCTCCTAGTCCACTTAATTTTCTCATTTAATTTCATTAAATCAGGAAAGTTAAAACTTTTTAATTTGCATTTAAAAAACAGAGCAAAAATGGCAACATCTTTAAAACAAATTAACTTTTGTATACAATTTTGTGACATTAAGAGATAAAAGAATTGAAAGTTTCGATTTTGTACAGTCCGTGAACGAACTCGGGGTCCACTTTGATCCACAGAAATGATATATTCCAGAGTCAAAAAATTCTCTTTCTTAAATATTATTAGGAATGTTATATAGGAATTGAAATAATGAAGTGCAGATTGGGGTAAAAATGGACACCAGGAGTCCGTCGTTCGGTCGATAAGGCGGGGGTTAAAACGTCGAAGTACAAAGGTTGCTTACCTTGCGACACCCTGCGCGTTGCTGGTGGTAACCCTGACGATGGCGCTCCTGCCACCCGTTCCATGAAGGTTGAGGTTGTGCACGTCGAGCATCGAACTCCCGCTCGACGAGTGACTGGAGTTGGAATGACCTTGACCCGAGCCGGGGCTCGACGGTGGCGTCAGGATCTGACCTTCGCTCTCGCAGCCGCTGTCCTCCTCCTCCTCGATTTCCTGCGCCGCAAACGTAATTCATTACGCAACGGGATTACGATAACGGGTCTCTGATTAAAGTGCAAGCAACTGGTTAAAACGATATCGGACATCGATACACCGGCGCCCGCGACCGTGCGAATCGATCAATGGCAAATGACCCCGTAAACGGATTACACGGCCTACGGTGTGTGCGCGCGGGCGCGCATGCGTTAAATTACACCATGGCCCGCGCGCAAACCAGGGAAAATTGGGAAGAATCGTTATTTGTATAACTGGCGTCCGACGGTAATTGAAATCTGACGGGTATTGTGCCCGCGATACGTCGAAACAGAACGAAAGTGAGTCGCAGCTCCGCGCAAATAGAGCCATTCTTCTCGGGTTCGCTACCTATCGCTGATTGCTATACTTCGTCCAAGAGACAATTATTAGATACTTCGACGAGCTTCCAATTTTAACAAACGAGGAGGAAGCACCGTTCGCTAACAACACCCAATAAAGAAAACAAACTGTACTCCGCATGCACCTAAAATAGGAAAGAGCTTTAGCGACAAAGCCGAAAAGAACCAAGCGTTCGCCCAAAACTGATACGAAAACAAATGTTTCGAGCGTTTGTTTTAAATATCCGCTTATAGAAATCGAACGCCCACGATAGTCTCGCTCGTCATATTTACGTAAATTAATCGTTCGCATGCAGAAAGCAACACCATGCGTCGAGGGGTGATATTGAAAAGGTGGCTGAAGCTCGACGACGAAAATAAAAAAACGAAACGACCGAAAGAAACAGAAAAAGACGCGAAAAAAAAAGGTGGAGAGAGCGCTCCGTGGCGCTGTCGCGGAGGAGAGGAAATATCGGACGATAAGTGTCAGAGATGTAAATCCGGCTTGAACGCACCTCGTGCTCCTCATCCTCTTCGAGATCCTCGCTGGGCTCTTTCTTGAGAATGAGTGCCGTGCACGAGAGGGAGGGCGAGCTGTCCCAAGACAACGCCGAACACGCCGAACTCGCCGACGACATCGACAAGGAATCGAGGTGTCGGTCCAGGAGATCCCTATCGCGGCCGTTGTGGTTGTGATCGCCGGGACTGAATTTTATGTCGTCGATACAGAGCGCTTCCCTGTCTTCCGACGTTGTCGTCATCTACGCCGGCATCAGGGACAGAGAATAAAAAGAGGGCCTTCGACACCTTCGGTCAAGACACGCGCGCTCGAGGGCGGTCGGACGTCGAAAAAGTGTTCCCGTGGGAGCACCGATCGAATCCGTCCCCTCCCCCTCCACACGGTCGGTCGAGCGACGGTTACTCACCTCCACTTTGATCGGCGACTCGAATTGTGCGTTTGCGGTGCCCGTGGAGGCCGTCCACGAGATCGGCGGCGCCCTGAAGAGGTTCCAGGGTGCCGTGTCCAACTCCGTGGGCAACTTTTTGTACGACTGCAGCTTCGGCTCGTCCTTCAGGTACCTCTCCATCTCGTAGCATGTCTGAAACAATCAAACGCGTTGCGTTAGATAGATCTTTCACGTTGGTGTTTCGATCTATAGAGTACTATGGGGGTTATCTACTGTAAACCGCCAAAAAATTCAATTTTTTTGCATTTTCTTAAAGGATATAGACTTAGAAATATATGTGCAAAAGCAACTCCCAAAATTAACGGCGGTATACGTATTGTTCTGTCGAGCTATACCTGTTTGAACAAAATTATCTTTTCTCACTTGACTTCCATGATATCTCAAGATCTACTCGACAGATTTGTGTCGCTATACTCTGTACTAGAATGAAGTTAGAATCATGATTCTCTAATGAAGTTTAAGTCTATAGCTCTCATAATGTTGGAAAATAGAGTGATGATTCAACGTCGAATGAGTTATTCGTTTAAATCCATCACATGTGTCACTGCCTGCATAGTCAGCCGACAGCTTAAACTCCATTGCTTGTATCGAAACTTGTATCGTAACATGTATCAAAGTCACTAGGCGGCTTTATACGTTTAAAAAGTTCGTAAGTAGTGTCCTGGAGGACACTGTTCATGAAAGTAGTTCAAGAATAATTAAATAATATATTTCTATGAGAAGTAACATTCGTAACACTATCTGGCCCATTCGAATCTTTGCGTACACAGCGCATGCGCGAGCGAGAGTGCTACAGCTACGCCTGCGCAGCGTCACGTGGCGTTGTTTCAATGGCCGCGCGCGTTGCGCGTGTTATTCGTTTTCCTAACGAAATAGACGTTTGATTATCAATGGTTAAACAAAGTGTAACGTTTTTCTACGGTTCTAATCCCGATCCAGCCTCGTTCTAAGGCAAGTTCCGACAATTCTAAAGCCCGAACGGTCGAAGTTCCGTTTCGAGCCAAATCGCGGACGACGCGCGACGCAAAGTCTGGCGAGGGGCGTCTCGATCTACTCGCGGAATATCGGCGGACACCTGCGGCGACGGGAACTTCTCGAGACAGCGGGGAAAATTATCTGCAGCATCCGGGAGGCCGCGTACACGCGAAAACACATCGACGCGGTCGACACAGCCACTCGCGCGAGTTACCGAACTTCCCGCCTCGGTCCCGTAGGCTGTGCCAGTTCGGTACAGTTCCTCAGAGACGCGGAGTGCAAAGTTATGCTGCCTAGCGTGCGCAAGGAATTGTGCACGAACCGTGCCACGAAATCAGATTACGTGGCCGTTTGCTGGGGACCCCTACGAGTCCTGTCTCGGATCGTCCTTGCGCCACGGTTCACCTGCGACGAATTGTTCGAAAAAATCCATTTTTTTTTTATTGATTTTCAAAGTCCAGAAATTGAAACGTAACGTGTGGATTGGGATCCAAATATTTGGTACAGATTTCCCAAATATATCGAATATACAGTTCCCCTTTGATAATTAATCTTGTTAACCATAACATCAATATTTAAAAATTAAAAAGAATAAAGAAGTAGGAAGAATAGAAGAATTTTTAAATAGTAAATAATAGAAATAAAACTATAATTGATACATTATATAATTCCTATTTTTATTAACAGAATTAATGAAATAGGAGCCTTGCAGAGGTCTCAATCCCTAAATATAATAATTCGTACGTTACTTTAAGTATTTCTCATATATTTGCATACTAAACATTCCCGCAAATGCATAAATATCCGCAGTCCGTTTGAAAACGATGGCGGAAGACCATCGTGCTTGAAATTATATACTTCGTTGCGAGTATGATTTAATAAATGGCGGTTTTGAAATGCGGGACATTTTCTTGAACGCCGCAATACAAACGATGTCGTTTGTCTTGAACCGGGGATCTAAGCGATCGGGAAAGGAAAAAGAAAGAAAAGCAACGGCGCTCAAGATAAATGTGCTTTGTATATTAAAACGCGGTGGTTTTAATAAAAGTTCCGCTGACGCAAGCATGGCCGCCGCGTTCCCCCGCGAGACGATCCCCAAGACGAGTTCTCATTACGCTTCTGTCGCCGTCGTTATTCTCTTCGGTGCGGGATAATTTACGGCCGGTCGTTTCTTCTGGCCTTCGACAAGCTCGTGGGAAGAGGAAGAGGATCCTGAAAACGCGCTGTCGCGAGCTTTCGCACCGGTCTGTTACCTGGAGACTGGTATTAATTATTGCTAACGCGATCTTCTACGGTCAGTTATGGCACACAGAGTTGAAAGACGACGTATTATTCTCCTTCGATGCCACGAAACGACCGTAAAATCGCCTCAATCGAGCATATACTTCGACAGTCTGCTCTGGGCATTCTCTGCCAATTGATTATAATTAATTTACAATGTAATAACTTTTTTAAATGTTCAAGAACGACATCTCGTGTTGTACGAGTAGAACTATCCAGTCCTCGTAGTGAAGTGTAATGATATATTATAAATTAAGTACAAATAGGAACCAGCATCTATAACGTTAATTTTTATAGAAAGGACGATCTATTAAAAACGTATATAAATTTTTATAATGAATAACAAAAATAAAACAACAACTACGACTGAAGTATTTATATTCCTCGATTCATCGCCTTGGCATTTCAAGCAAAAGAAAGATGAAACGTTAAAAAAGAATCACTGAAAGCAATCAATTACCTTTGTCGCTTTGAAAATAAATTCTGGCCCGGCGTGCGCCGGTTTCGCGGATAAAACCACTCGTCCCCGGCACTGCCGTGCAAATAATTTATCTTTTCTGCAAGGCCACTTTAAGGGTTGCCGATGGTGGTAACAAAGACGCGAGGAACAGCGGCGAAAGAGTATTTTATTACAGCTGCATCGACGGGCCTCAAAGATCTCTCCTTTCGCGCGATTCACTTTGACGCGGCGGAATTTTATGAACTTGTAATAACTCTGTTGCAACGAGACTCATTTAAATAGAAAAGTTGCTCGAGAGTTTGAAATATCCGATTTCCCTCAGTTTTCGATCAATGGAGGAGACACCTTGAACTTCCCGTCTGCTTCGTATAATCACTCGCTATAAATAAAACGAATGTGCACGATCCTGATACAATAATAACGTATTGTAATTGCTATTACTACTTTCTGGAACTTGTCATTATGATTTTGAGAATAGAAAAATCTGAGTGCCACAAAATGTGATATTGGTCATCTACAATTATTAACTCTGTGCTAGGATCCTCAACATTTGGTAAATAGTTAGTGATTCCAAACTATCGAGCATCAGTTGTGGGTGGCGTTAAAATTATTTTTATATTTGGCAGCTTCTTCGTTGCATCATCGAGGAAAATTTATAAATTCACGTTGCGACGGGCAACAAACGGAAGGCCGGGTGTACAGCAATTATCCGCGCGCGACACCGTCGGTGACTATGATACCGGGGATTTCCCGATCATTGTAACGCTAATTAAACCGGAGGGACAGCACGCAGTCGCGGCGGAGCATCGTCGTTGCATTTTGATGGCCGACAGTAACAATCGTTCGATGAATCTGCATAGCCAGCCCGACGCTATAAATTGTTTCCAGCGAGCATTGACAGGTAAGCAGCGCCGGCCGCGTCGCTGTAAATATAATGAGGCCGGGCATTGTAAAATTTGACACGCGGGACCGATGAATTACAAACAGCGCGAGCCCGTAACAATTACGATCCGCGCGACGCTTGATCTCGTCGTTCGATGAAACAGCCATCGATACAAGATTCAACGTGTTCATTTCTCGAAACGATATTCGCGGTGGCCACCTGTCAGTATCATTTGCAGTCAGCCCGAATTGGACGAATTTTCTTGACCAACAACACAAATTTGAGACCGTAAAGCTACTTTTAAATTAGAACCCATATAGTAGCGATGTTAATCACTGAAAATGGTTTTGCAATGGACTTATAAAGAAACATCAGTATGTCCAAAATTTCATTCATCAAATGACTCGAATATATTAAGTAGAATAGAAAGATAGAGCATACATGATTAATTTGCTTCGAGGATGAACCAGAATGGAGTTTGTCTCCCAGACGGATAGGGATTTTTCGAGGAGCGCAAAAAAAAAAAATGGCATCCGACCGAAATTACAGAGCTCCGTCTAATATCGTCCCCTCGCTAAGAAAAATAATCGTCCTCGGACTCCTTCATTATTCACGATTAAAGTTCGTCCATGGAGCCCGCGGGAACGAGTAACGGCGTTAATATAACTTGGAAAGGAATTTTATAGCCAACTCCGGAAGCATCCCACCTCCTTCGTCGACTTAACTTCTACTAATCGTCATCGACGACTTTGATCGAGGAGACGATTAAAAATCAGTGGACCAATTTAAACAGCTCGCCGTGTTCCTGGCTCTGAACACAGGACTGAAAGGGTCGTAATCGCGAAGAAGTCCAAGAATATTCGAAGAATTCGAAATTCACCGAATAATTTCACTTTATTTAACGTAATCACTCGATTCATTTATGAAACAGACCTGAATTTTAATTGATACAGCAAGCTGCATCGTTCGTAGGTACATGCGTTCACCAGCAGAGGGCTACGCTCACCTTTTCTCTCTCGCAAGTACACGATCGACCTTTGCAAAGAAGTTAGTGATGTAATTATATACACGAAACCAAGAGATTTGAGCATGTTGGACCATACACAAAGTCACAATAATCAAAGAGGGAGATTTTAAGAGAGGCAAGAGAAGTTTCTATGAAACTTCGTGACTCCCTTCGCGGTATTTCGATTTCCTTTGTTTGTGGCGTGGTTTCTCTCCCCCGGAAACCACGCGAAGAAGGGAGAAACGGGTGGAAAAATAAGCGGGAGAACCAGCCCGAGATTAAGCTTTACGACTTTGCGTGGTCGTCCCTTTGCCATTGGTTCCATTAAATCCGGAACCGTGTAATAATTTAGAAGTTCACGGCGAGGTCCGTTCGTCCGTGGTCGGTCACAATGGTCCCGCTATCGTTTTCCATCGTTGCGAGCCCGCGAGCGTCCGAGTCACGGGATCCTCCATTACGCTTTTACCGATGACCCCATAAGCCGTTGCCACCGGATTTACGAGTCGCGTGGAACCATAGTGTGCCGT